ATTGGCAATTTGCGCACGCTAATAGAAAATTTCTCACTTTCTGGTCTCTAAGGAACGAGTCGGTTCATCCTTCCTGTATGTGTGTCAATTACCATCTTTCTCCAATAAAGTCTGGATGTTCTGCAAAAAACGAAACCTTAGACCAAGGAATATGCATAAATACATCTAATTCAGGTTATCATAAAAAAAGCATATTAGGGGAGTGTTCTTATTATTCAACCCAATCCCTTGAAAAAGTAGGACTTAAAGGAGAGTTCTAGCATAATATTATGATATTAAATTGGAATTCAAACGCACCTTTTGTAAAACTAGATTTTTCGACAGCGTTTCCTCAAGCATACGCTGTAATCGTCGATTCATATCACGTATATCAGCAGCTGATTCATCCATACGAACCATTTCGAGCACGCGACGAAACCGCAAACCTTAAATGACCAGCGGTTATCACATATGAAAAGAAACGAAACTGAAAAGCATAACTTATAGAAACTTCAGCAAGAGGAATAAGTCCAAGAAATGTCATACCAGGTGATGAATTAGCCACTTGCGGGCTATGATTAGTATCGGGTATAGTACGAATCCACTGGGCAATCACTTCACTCTTTTCATCTACTTCCTTTCGCAGCAATGTATTCTCTTCTTCGATCATATTTAACTAAAAAATAACAAAAATATTGAAAGTTACCAAATCTTAAACCAGCGTGACAGTCAATCAACTCTCTCTTTTCCTATAAAAAAACATGGTTGGTAAAATTTGCGAAAAATAAAGAAGCACTTACACGGTCAATGGTCTCGGCATGTTTCTTTTGCAAAATAGCTAAACGACTAATTAATTCTGCATTGTCAGCTTCTAAAATTGATGCTGAACAAGAACTTTCTTCGTCGAAATTCTGTAAACTACGCCTGACCAATTAATGAAAAAGAGGATGAAAGTATTATCAGTGCAAAACAATAAACATATATTCTTTACAAAGAAAAATCCCCGAGACAAGAAGACTGCTACAAACATTGGCTATAAAGTTTGATAAACAGACTAATGCGGTTCAAATCTCATTTCATGTCATGTCATTGCCCCTTACAACTTCCAGATAAGGGAAAATTTCCCTTTTGGACCCGTGCGAGAACAAATTATAACGGCGAATTTCAAACATACATGAAAGGAATTTCTATCTGGTTCTGCCACAAATGCCCAAGAGCAAATGCTGGATTCTCCATCACCTTTCATTTTGAAACGATCAGAAAGAGTAGCTGGTGATCCAGCTACTCGTATTCGAGCGTTACCTGTAATTTATTTTTCCATTTTACTAGACATTTTTTTTTAACTTCACAAACGATTCCCACCAATTTTATGGTAGTTTAATTATGAAATGTTGTAAGTTAAAAATGATACCTGATAAAACACAATGTTTCGATACCTGCTAGATGAACTGAATTACATAATACTAGAGAACTAATTTGTAAATTTAATTTCACTCATTAAAACATAAGACTTCAATCGGTGAATGGAAACGTGAGTAAAACAAAACAAGCAAGCTATGTTGCATGTTGTAAAAGAAGGGAGTAAAAAGAAAAAAAAAACTCACTGTTTGTATAGACACTAGCATCACCCATGCCAAGGACGTCATCCAAGTGCTTTTCGGCTTGTTCAGCCCGTTTTTTCTCCGACTGCACTTGACGTCGTAATTCCTTCACCATTGAAGACTGAGCAGAAAATACAGGTTAAACGTAGTTATCAGCTAAAGACGATCGGCCCATATAAACTTGATGTATTTCAAAATTTAAAATAACGAAAGAGGGTGGATAGAACTGTTCACGTCATTTAACAGTAAAGAAACCACTCACAGACAGGAAAAAAAGAAAAAAACCACCCTATTGGAAAGAAGGAAAATAGAAGAAACTTACCTGTTTCTTGAGTGCTACTTTCATTTCTTCATCTTTTCTCTTAATCTCCTCTTCGCTTTCCTTTATTTTTGCTTCTAATGTTAGTTTAATCATTTCAAAATTCTGAGCTGCTGAAGTTTGCTCCTGAAATTGAAAATGATTACCAACAGATTTAGAATCATTTGAATCTATTAGAAATTTTCATAGAACTTATAAAAGAACAGGAAAATGACACCTCATAAGTTGTGAAACCCGTTCGACTTACAAAAAAAACTATACTTCTTCTTTAGAACGTTCCAATTCCAGTACGTGCATGCTCAATGCTTGAATTTCAGTGCCAAATCCCTGTCTCACTTCTTCCCAAACCGCTTCTTCCGCTCTCTTTTTCTCCTGAAAATTTATCGAACCATATTTAATTAACTGAAATATTAACGATACCGATAAATGCAGTTAAACTAACACATTCCCCAAAATGGATTAGATGGAACCGCATGAGAGATGGCAGAACGCACATCCTCATAAATAATATAGACGAAGTTTAGCTTACAATTACAGTAAACCAGACAATCCCAGTGATATTAAGTGAACTTGCTTTTGTAACATGGAATTCATGAGTAACAAACCTTTTCAGCTAAGGCCTCAGCTTTTGCAGTCTGCAATTCCATTTCAAGAATGTTTAGTAATTTCTGTCTTTCTTTCAACAACGCATCCTTTTCGAAAGTTACTTTCTCGATCTCGCGCAATCTTTCACATTCCACCTCCAGACTTCGTACATATTCCTGTATTCATCAGTATGCTTACTCATTTTTTTGTTTCAAATTTCCAAACATCCCTATCACAAAGTCAAGCATTTCATATTCAACATTGCAATCTTTTCAAAATATTCCGACAGAATTTTCCTTTAAACCGCTTTCTCTACAAATACTATACAAAATCCGTGATAACTACTACGTACCTGTAGATCATCAGTCTGCGACTGCCCATCAGAAGTAACGGTTTTTTCCATTAGTCCTCCATAAAACCTCTGCAATTCTACGATTGTTTCTTCTTTTTCTTTAAGGAGTTGTTTACCATTCTCGCACAACTCAACAGCTTCATGCAATTCGCGTTGCAAATTTGCTGACCTATAGTAAGATGGAATCCATAAATACTGCTTTAGCTTTATCTTGTCCAATGAAATTGTGGAGGAAAATACTAGGTTTTATTACCTTTCTCGCTCCATGTTAATCTCTTCGATTAACATTTTCTTCGATGAAAGTAGCTCTTGATTAGAAGCTTTTATCTGAGCTACCAGTAAGTCTTTTTCCGTAAGCACTTCTGAAAATGAAGTACTCCCTTTAATATATAAACTGAACGACGTTAAATTATAATTTACTTTACTGAATCTCATCGACTCACCATTACTTTATTCATCCAAAACTTCAATTAATGAAAAAATCACGACAAAATTAGAGACAAAAACAGAAAACAGACCTCCAAGTGATGAGACTTCTACTTCTAAATCTGAATTCTTCTTCATTAATT